CTTTCTGGCTTGGGGCGCGTCGGAGCCGTGTTGGGGCTGTCGCACGACTTCATGGTGCTCTTCGGGGCTCTCGGGGGCGGTCTGGGAGCCGAGGCTTTTTTGGAGGCGTTTTGGATCAGGACTCGACAGTTTTCGGTTGTCGGAAGCCTGATAGCCGAGAGCGCGAAAATCATACACCAGCTGTACAAACATCCATGATTTTGGCATCCTCGGGCCTTCCTGGAGGACCTCTTGGAGCCCTCTGGGGCCGTATCGGGGGCTCCTTGGGCTGTCTTGACGTCATCTTGGCCCATCTTGGAATAGTCTTTTCTGATTTGGAGGCCGTCTTTGCCTTCTGAGGCGTCTTGGGCCATCGTGAAGGCCATTTTGAATCGTGGAAAAACCATTTTTGGGGGCCATCTTGGGCGCCTTCGAGGCGGAAGGGAATTCTACCAGGAGGCTGGCGTGATGCGCCGAGAGTCCGTTGGGAACATCTTGGGAAAGCCAAAATGTGTTCGGACATCTGGCACGCCACGCACCCCTCTGGCAAGCCACGGGGGTGCGGCGGTTCTGGTGGTCCTCGGCCCATCCCGCCGCTGTGCCCCGGTTGTGGACCAGCTTGCTCCCGGAGTACTGCAGGGGGCCTCTCCGTGGGCCTCTTGGGGGCCCCTTCGGACTGTTCCCCACGGTTCGACTGACGTTCGGGGCACCCCACGGAGCGACTGCGGCGCGGTGGCGGATCTCAAGTACCTGCAGCGCTCGGCGTTCCTGAAGTTCCGCGCATTCTGGGGCCTCGGCCGGGAGCCGGCGGCCACAGCCCGCGGATCTCTCCGGAGGGGCGACTACGCCAGGGTGGAGCAGGACCAGCGGTCGGGGGCCCCAGGCACGGGCAGGTGGGGGATCGTGTTCGCTGGCCTGGACCCAGACATTTTCGGTAGCAGCTCGTGGGGGCCTCGTGTACCCTCGTAATTGTGTCTTCGGCGTCGACGAGCGTCGATTAGCGTCTGGGAGCCGATGAGATAGCGTCGATCTAGCGTCGGCTCGCTTCGACTCGCGGCGAGTTAGCGTCGATTTAGCGTCGACGAGCGTCGATTCGCAAGAGCCGACAAGGTGGTACGGAAGGCTCCCATGAGTTGCCCCCGGAAGACATCCCAGCATCTCGGAGAGGGAGCACCGTCGTCGCACCAGGCTGGTGGGAGGATTTGCAGTACTACTCGGCCAACAACCACCCCTTCCACGGCATCCTGATGTGTGATCCGGCACACCCGCTGGATTGGAAGGAGAGGATCATGATGGAGGTGGTAGTCTTTTGCTTGGCCTGTGTTTCACTGTACGTTAATGAAAGGTCTATGAACACCCACTGGGGCCTCAACCATACGCTCTTCGACCTACTGTTCGTTACGCTCCCAGGGATGGTTTTGTGGTACGTTCTCTTTTATATGTACACGTGCCCGTGCGCCAACGATGACGAGATCCACTCGACTATTTTTTGGCAAAGGGTTAAGAAAGGATTGAGGATCTGCGGCGAGGACATAGCACACCTGATCGTGCTGTGTGGATTCCTGTACTTGCTGTGGCACCTGCACAACAACGCTCGTGCCGACGAGGTCGGCGGCATCGTGCTGCCAGCATGCGTGGCGCGCGCACGAGGGTACGCCATCAACTGGCTCCTGATGTTGCTTCTGTACTTCAATCCTCTGGTGGCTGTGAGACTAACCTGAACCCCCTACCGATCCAACACCTCTCCCCCTCTTCTTCTTCTTCTTCTTCCTCCTCCTCCTTCCTTCCCTCCGCCTCCTCCCTCCTCCCTCCCTCAGTATCCAATCTGGCTCAAGATTCCACGATCGCTTGCACGCTGGCAGGGGCCTCTGCTGAGCAGCGAGTGGATCGTGGAGCCGGCACGTTCTGGGAGCATTCTCCTGCCGCGTCAGACTAAGCGCCTGCCGCCTTCCTCTCACAGAGCCGGTTCCGTGGCAGGCTGCAGAAGCCTGCCACGGACGCGGATTGGAAGTTTGTTTTTTTTGGAGATCGCTTGCGTTTTCCAGTGCCAGCTCCAGGCCGATCACCCACACCCGCGCGGCCAGCATGTCGGCACAGTCCCCAGCTGATTTCGACGACCCAGACGTGAACACCCGCTCAAGTGACACTGGGCAGCACTTTGCTCGCGGCTGGTGCCTCTGCGAGGCTTCCTGGGCGAGGCTGGCCAGCTTCAGCCTTCTTCCGACGGACCCTGGCGAGCCCCCCTGGGCTGGAGCAGCTCGGATCCGAGCCGCGGCGGGCTTCCTGCGCCTGGTGCTGTCCTCTCGGGCCGGACGAACGGGGGGGATTGGGAAGGGGGGGGGGGTACGAACTTTGCTGCATGCAGCTGGTTTCTCGGCCTCACCGAGGGGCCCACTCCTCGATACATAGCCGCCTCCGGCGCCGGGAGGCGCCGGGGACATTAGCTGCGTGGGCTGCTTCTCACACCTGCCCCTTTGCCATCCCCCCCCCTTGCGCCCGACCCGATCCTCGCTGGCCCTCG